TCATCTATATTAATGTTAATCCATACTTTTGTAAGATCTTTCGCTCAGGAGTTGTGCCTCAGATTAGAATGTGTATCTTCCTCTTTCTCTATGTCACTAGTGAACTTTTCTTAATGATATGGTTACTATCTGATGGGTACACAAGACTTTTGTGGTTTCAGGATTCTTTGAATGTTTTTATTGAAATGTTTCAACACATGTTGAATGATTTGTATTCATCACTTGACTCCCTGCTTCTACAAGGAACTTGTACATATGACTCTGGAGTACAGGCAATTATAGGAGAGTACTGCATAACTGTTGGATCCACTCTTAGATGAGATATGCTGTCGGTTATGAATTCCACTCGTGTTGTGGAAGCCTCCTGTGCTCATAGAAAATATATGTATATATGACGTCCAATAAATTAACCTTTCTATTTAATTGAGGATAATAAGAGTTGCAAGGACAGATATCATGCTTATTAGTGTTGTTCAGATACAACTGTGATATATTCATACTATGAATGTTGGTATTGTATGTTCTATCATGCAAAACTGAGTTTATCACTCTTATATCACTATTGTGAAATACGGAGGAAGGGATGGGGATAAATAGTATAGATATTGTTACTTCTCTTCCACAGATACAGTTGTCAAGCCGTGTTAGAAGGGGAGAATATTAATACTGTGATACAAATTCATTTGTTCTTCCATGTACACAGATCTAAATAGCGCGCATTAGTTGGTGGCATCCCCATAGTTAATACGGGACTGAGAGATTTTTCACTTACAATATATGCCAATTATAAGGTTATCGCGGTGAATCCATCGCTTATATGGGAATTTTTAAATTACCGTTCTGTATTAAAGTTGTTTTCACTCTGAATAAACATGCTTTTTCTATAAAATTATATTTATGACTATCATATATCATATTGTATACCCGAATTGTAGAGACATTATTCGGCTGATTTCTTATGTTTCAAATCACAAATCTATCAGTAACTTATTGCTACTACATGGAAGAAGAAAGTAGATAATTAGTCGCGAGATGGCTGTTAGCATGTTTATTATTAATTTGAAAGAAAATGTCTTCCCAATCTCTGATAAGAATAATTTAAATGTTGTTTATTCGTTATCAATTTGCGATATTCAGTTGGTATAGCTATCTGTATGCACATAGAGGAATGCTTCTATGAAGATTAGGAAGAGATTTAGGGGAAGAATTCATCTCCCCTAAGGAAAGAAAGGAGCGTCTTTGTTCTTCAGATAAGAATATAAGAGACTATCAGTGGGTTGAAATAATCTTCTGGTGTA